AAAAAGACTCAGTGTGCTTCTGACATTGTTACATTTCATGCATTAAATTCCTGAAACACTTTAAAATTCCTGAAACATTTTTAAATTCAGTAGTATTGGCTTCAAAAGATTAACAAATTGCCTCTTTGCCAAAAACTGTCTTGCTATTCAACTGTGAAAAACATTAGAAAAATATTCTTTCTTGCTGTTATACTATAAATTGACTTTATTTGAGCGACATATGAAAATCAAAACCTTCAAACTCCAACCCACCCTTCTCTTATTAGTGGGGCTACCGCATGCCGTGGGTGCACTAGCATAGCCCCACATCTTAGATAATTTGGTAACCCATCGAGCTAAGAAAATTTGGCTGTCACGTAATTGTCTGTACAACGCCCATACGTGTGCCACTTGCTCTGTACGTGTGTGAGTTTTTCAAGGTCCTGTTTTCATTTATATTACCTCTTTTGGCCAAAAAATGGATAAAAAAGAAACACCAAACAGTGTTCAAGAGGCACCGATGAGGAACATCCAGGGAGTAGAGAGTCCTTGTCTAGTGAAGAATACCTGGGGAATTTTACTTTCCTTTGAAGGCTGAAAGACATGACCATCAATCAACGCGCTTTCAACTGACGTTTGAATACAGGACTTTAGAAAACAAATTGGTAATGTGTTTATTGTTTCGAAGCTGGATTCAATTTTTCAAATAACTATACGGCTGTAAAATTGACTGCAATGTCATGGGCAAAAATAATTTTCCAATTACGCTTCAGCGCGAATTATTTTAACAATAATTAATTGTATATACCAAAGCATGTACCAATTAGCAGCACGATAAAAAAAAAATTACATAAAAATTGATTCCGAAGACAGCAGAAAGTCCTCTGGAATTCTAAATTATGGCCTGATTTGCACACAAAATGGGCAGCAGAACAAGAAGAAAATCACATGATTCATCACATGATCAGGAAGAGAATTCAAACGTGTTCACTTGTTTTGTATGTTTAGTAAAATTACAAAATGCTAAACACAGTGGAAAAATGGTTGATTCAGTGATCAATCGAAAAGCTCATTACAATCTTCACAACATTTGTTGAAAGTTTCTGCCTGGATGATTTATGCAGACTGAGGTCAGAGCTGTGGTGAGCACCTTTTTGTTGTAGAAACTGCTGTCAATTGTTTTCCAAAACTTTTGAAGGCACAGCCACTGGTCACTTTGCTTCGGTGAGATATAGCGTCAAAAGGAGTTGTATTAAAGTCTTCCAGATTTGAAACCGTGCTCTTAAAACATTTTATAAATTCCATGATCGTTTTAATTTCGCTAACCGCTAAACAATAACACTGGAGTTGCTTTGTTGATCAAAGTTGTTGTAAATAGAATAGTTTTGTGTCTGTTTTCAGACTTTTTGCCGCTAAATTAACGATTAAAAGTAATAAAACCATACTTGTAAATAGAGGCAAAATTGTATAGTTTTCTTTGTGTTAAAAATTAAGGACAGCTACTTCATAGACTGGTAAAATGTCTTCTTTTGTTACACTGGGTTGGATTTGCTCACGACTCTCACAAGCTGCAAGAATGCCTGAAAAGTACTTATTAATAGTGGTGGGAATCAGTTGAGATTTCACAATCGATCATTGGAAATAATCGGATTGCCCCAACCAATCGATCATCGATTATAATCGGAAAAATCTACCAATAAGCATTCCATGAGACTGACATGAAATCAACAAAACACGCATGCCACAGACCTTTGTTAGTGTATTGCTTTCTGCAGAACCTACAGATTACCTTCGTCGTATCCAAGTTTTCCTTTGTTTTGGGCTCTTCCTTCACTTGATAAAAACCAAAACATTTTCCCACTTTTGACCTGGCGTTTCCAGGATAACGACAGATCTCCAACTCGGCCATTTCAGCTGCCATGTTGGACTCATCAGCAACATGTAAACGAGGCAGGTCTGAGAGAGGACCCTGGGAATTAATTTGAGGTGACTTTTTGCTGATATGTTGTTTCTTAATACCTTTCATTCGCTAGTGATAGTAGTGATACTACAAACGTGAAACGGTGAGCTTGTAATTTATGTTTTGCTCAGTTGTTTGCGAAATGCAAAGCAGCTTAGCATGTCACATCTTTCAAATAAGCGTGGTGTATTTGAAGTGACAACAACACAGCGCACAGGATACACACAGGCTAACACATTCAATCTTAGACTACATCTGCTGTTATGGCTTAGAAGTTAGGAGTCCACGAAAAAAGACAACTCACACCAATATATTAAATGTACATTTTTATTGATTTTAATACTTTTATTTGTCCCCAATAAATTTTTAATTTTTCCGCGACAATCGATTATGAAAAAAGCATAATCGATTGTCACGTCACTTGAACTTTTCGATCAACTTTCGATTATAATCGATCATCGGCCCACCACTACTTATTAACACCTCCTAAATGCCTTTCTTTGCATGTTGGTTCTGTAGATTCCCTTGTTTTGTTTGTTTGTTCAGTTCCTTCGGTTTGGTGAAATGTTCATTGGATGCTTATTGAATTTCTTTAAAGGGCAGATAAAGCTATGACTGTAAAGCTGTTGCCAAAAATAAGATTCAAATTACCCTTTAGAGTGAATAATTAAGTTAAACTTAAATGCCAATTTAAACCAATTTTCCCATACATTCTTTCATTCGCAAATTTTTGTTGAGAAATTTGTGCTTTTTAAAAAAGTGAACAACAGTTGCTAAATGACACTTGCACAGATTGAATTGTGTATTTTGTTTATGGAGATTTCTTTGTTTTGTTTGTTTAATTCAATCAGTTTGGTTAAATTCTTATACTTGAATAAAGGTTAATTTATTGTGTTGAGTATTAATAAATGTGTGATCGAAATGTGATTCCAAAAATCACACTTTTTCACACTTGTAATCTCACTTCTTATATATATTTACTACATGACCTTCACTGGGATATGCTTGAGCTACCGTGGCAGCATGTCACACCCCATGTTAGTATAAACTGACTGGTATGCCTGAATGAATTCCTGAGGCAATTAAGGGGTAGGGTATCACCCTGTCAGGTTCCAACTCAGACCATAAGGACATCATGCCACTCTTACCAACCATGATAGAGACCTAAGGCAACCTAACTAACCTCTAGGATTTCAAATTTCGTCATCCAGTAATTGTCAGTGGGGAAACAATCATTATAATCTGAGAATTTGTTATTATGTGAGCAGCCCTACTTTGTAGCTTCTGGAGTCTCTCAGATTGGCATTTTCCAATACAACCCCATATTGGGCCACGCAAGTCGAAATTACTGTAGTAAAGAGTCTTGCACAGCTCAAATTCTCGCATAATAATTTTCGGAAATCTCATTTTTATTTATCAGTAATTTCGACTCTTTACCACAAGAGTCGAAACTTAACTGTACTGTAGTATTACTGTACTGAGTTTTCCTATGAGAATGTGGGCCACCATAATGATCCTTCGATCTTCATTCATCAAAGGAACCTGCATTTGATATAAGTGATTGCTTGAACCCAGGAGCCAACAGGAACTAAACATAAAACTCTTGAAGTTTAGAATTTCTCTTAATTACCGTAATTTCCGTAATTACCGTAATGCGTTAATTTTTCAGTAAACTACCGTTGCTGCAGGTAATAGGGTGGTGCAGGTTATCTGATAATTTTTTAATCTTCCCGTAAGTATTTAACAGTAATTATTATAGTACTGACAGAAGATA